ACTAACCTCATCCCGCCCCCTTGACCTGTCCGTCCTCCCTGGACTGACCTATCCCCTCCCTAACTCCCCACCTACACTCACCTTTACTGGCTCCATCCCCGCCTCTTCGACCTGTTTGTTTCCTCTCCACCTGTCCTCTCCTCTATCCATCTTCTATCCGCCTCCCCCCTCTCCCTATTTATTTCAGAACCCCCTTCCCCTCCCCCTTTTCTGATGAAGCGTCTGGGCCCGAAACGTCAGCCTTTCTGCTCCTATGATGCTGCTTGGCCTGCTGTGTTCATCCAGCCCTGCACCTTCTCAGAATGAGTTATCTGTTCAAAATTACAACTTGAAGTTGTTCAATGTACCAACACAGTCTGTTTAGGTTCAGCAATTAGGGGATTATTAGATTGCTTCAAAGTAAATACTTCATTTTCTGGAAACCAACTGGATACCAGTAATAATGATGCACTTAAATTGAACTTTCAGTGACTACCTAGTCATTATGGTCAATAAAATGTGACTGAAAACTGAGCATTGAAATAACTTACGCAAACTACAGTTAACACCATAGTAACCAGTTCGGGTGCAATCACATTCATACCCATCCTTCCCGACATTAACGCATATTCCTTTATTCTGGCATGGGTAATAACAGCAGGGATTTACTGCAAATAGAAACAGACAAATTTACAGTTAATGTTCAGAAATATTCCATTGACAAAAACATTTGCTGAATTTTCACTGTTTATGACAATCTCCTGCCGTTTTGGAAGGGGCAATATTGTGAATTGCATTTGCAAGAAATAGTTTTGGATACGACAATGTTTGATATGAGAAAAGGCCTCCACTGAAAGCTTTGGTTCAGAATCAATATCAATATAGAAACAGATTTGAACTACATCTCCCATTAACCAGTTTGAGAAAGCCAAAACATATCTCACGTGGATTGTTTACAGGCAGTAGACAGAGATTACTTCTAAGGCTGGGCTGCTTTTGCTCATAAATCTCTAAGGCATGGGTTGATCAATCTACTGAATTTTTGCTGATTTAATACCTAAGAATATTTTAAACAAGCATAATCTGCACTTAAACGACAGCTGCATAATTACAATGCTCAAGCTTAGCTTTCAAGATGAATGGAAAGATTTACAAGCAATTTTTAAAAATAATATACGCATATATAATTTTGAACCAAAAAGCTAACAGTCTTAAAAACATGCAGGAGGCAAGATTTGCCAGAACAAAGAACATTTAAAGTGACCTAGAGTGTGAATCATTGTCAAATTTGAAATGGAAACTCCATCAAGAACACAAAGCCCAGAACTGGACCAGAGACAACAACGAAAATCTGTCAAAATATTCGTGACAAAAAGTTTGCATCAGTAGCAGGATAATTGTTATACCAGCTGATGTTTATACTGCTTAGGTCAGATCCCCTTTCTATATTCTTCCTGTCTAATTCTATGGATCTGAGATCGAGTGACAACAGAATCAAAATGTAATCCAGGATATTCCTCCGGTAGCATCCTAGTTTCTTTCACTGGTTGTTCCAACATCGTCAATGAGGCTAATATTTTTGAATAATTTAGGTTATTCCCCAAGATAAAATCAATTCCTTCTATAGGAATTTGATGCATATTGCAACTATAATTTGTGTACTTACAAAGTCACTCTTTAATCTAAACCTATACAATGGAACTGGTTTATAATTGTCATTAGCCAATCAGTAAAGTCAAACCCATCCTCAGTCAGCAACAGTCACTGACTAGCTCCAGTGTCCTTCAATATCTTTAAGGATTTACCTCTTTATTTTGACGAGTAAGGGAATACTTCTTCTCCATAAACAAAATATTTAAACCTTTCCATTACTGCTTTATATACTTTGTTAGAGAATTAAGCAAATACATCTCCCTCAAAGTTAAAAAAGTCCAGAACCTCCAGTACTGTAGTTTTCTTTAGCAATAATCCAGCAAGAATTCTTGGCAATACCGAGCCATCTCTCTCTTTCTAGTAGATTCTGTGAGAATATGTTTCACCTGCACTGCTGCTAAATGCTAATTTACTTTCTTAATACAACCTTTTCTTAAGATTTGTCAAATACCATTTTATAGACCATGAGATATAGGAACAGAAGGAGGTCATTTGGCCCATTGAGTCTGCTCAGCCATTCAATGACATCATGGTTGACCTGATCATTTTCAACTTCACTTTCCGACCTGATCCACATATCCCTTAATCCCCTTACTGTTTAAAAATCTGACTATCTCTGCCTTGAATACACTTAATGATCCAGCATTGACAGTCCTCTGTACTAATGAATTCCATAGATTTACTCCCCTCTAAGCAAAGGGTATCTACTGCGAAAAATCTCCCATTTAATTTCCAACAATTAGTGTGTCTAGCCTTGTTACCAATGGAAGCATTTTATTTCCTTTTCATAACTTTTATTACTTTTGGTATTCTTCTTTTCTCTTTCCTAAAAATAATACCATTTCCGTCCTCATTTTTGCACTTATCAGATAGGACTGTGCTTTGGAGTAGGTTGGGGGTGGGCAACAATCAGGATTGGGGTCTGTGCACTGAAAGTCAAAAGGGGTTAACAGGAGCCACCACTGTAGGAGGGAAGTTGAGAGAGACAATTGTGGGGTTGGAGGTAGCACGCAGAGAAGACAATAATTGTGAAGGAAGGTGACTCAACATATTATGGGAGAGACAATAGTGCATTGGAGGACAAGGGGCACTGCAACATGAGATGGGGTGGAGAGGGCTGTCAACAATGATTGCTAACACCCTGGCTTTCACGGAGTGGGTGGGGGAGGGAATACAGTGCACTATAGTGGTTTCTATGGCAAAGCTGAAGGACTGGGGCTCAAGGGGTCATGCTTCAAGATGAAGACATAAGTGAAAGAGTTTGGTGGGACTTGGTGGGATCTCTCAATCCTGAATTCACTGAGACCATTTGTACCTGATCACCCCGCTTCATCTGTATCCCCAGGATAAGGTCAGTGCTGCAGCTTGGGCAGTAGGCTTTGCTAAGGTAGCCTGATTTCCCAAGGTGATGCTGCTTTAGACTGAATACACATCATGTAGAGGTTAGCAAATCATAATGTAGCAGGCTTCATCAATAGGGTATGATTCAAATCCATCAGTGTACAAGACATCTGTGAGCATCGGTACTGCATTTTAGAGGTCCGCATCAGGTAGCCTGCGAGCTATCATGTTGCCTATATCCTTGAGAACTTCCTTCTTCCTAGCACCTATCAAGGACCAGGCACCTTACAAGGTTGATTTCTGAGAGACAAAGGTTACCCTCTGCAGTCTTGGCTCCATTACATAACCCCTGATGGAGTGTAGTTATCATGCAGCCCATTCATCCTCCAGGGCCTTTGTGGAGAAGACTATGGGCTTCCAGAAGAGATGAGGTTCTGATGCTTTGATTGGCCTGGGGAGGGCCTTGCAGTATGTTCCAGAGACAGTGTGCTGCATACTCTAAGCTTGTTGTATTCTCTAGACCTGGAGCAGGAGAAGGAGGAAGTGATGGACCCTGAAGAGCTGTGAGAGTGGAAGGAGTCTTTTGAGGATATCACCAAGAAATTGCCCGTAGTGTTCAGGAATGTGTAGATTAGGTGGGTTATAGGGGGAATGGGTCGGGGTGGGATGCGTTGGTGGGTTATAGGGGGAACGGGTCTGGGTGGGATGCGTTGGT